TGAGATAGTATATGTTTGCTTTATTTCTCATGGCTCCTATCTAGAATGTAAATTCCTCCAAGTCATAGATTTTTTTTTTTCTTAACCCTGAGCTTTCAAAAGTAGTACTTAGTTCATAGAAAATACTCTGTACCTGTCGAGTGAATGAATGAATGAATGAATGAATTGCTGTTTGCATGGAAGTGCTGTGGCAATCAGGATGTCTGCCCAGCCTGCTGATTGGTGCTTACCCAATACCTCCCTTGGGTGGATTTGAGTCTCTTGACCTGGATGGTGAGCACAACCAGTGATGAGGCACTCTGAAATACTAATGCTCTCTCAGGATTCCAGAAATGAGGTCATGAGGTCATGTTTATGTTATTTTCACAACTTCATGTTATATTCTTTTTGTTTTGTTTTGTTTTGGTCTTTTTGAGACAGTATCTCTCTGTAGCCCCAGCTGGCCTGTCTATGAAGACTGGACTGGCCTTGATCTACCTGACTCTGCCTCCCAAGTGCTAGGATTAAAGGCATGTGCCACCACACCTGGCTCTATATTCTTATTTCTATAGAAGTGCTATCGTGATTAAGAATATCTTCTATGGACAAAACAAAGTAGTGGTTGAGGTAAATGGGCACTTTGTAAATAAAATATATAAAAACAAATACCTTCTAGTTTTTAAAAATATATCAACAAATTTTTAAAGGAATTGTCATTTTTGCTGGAAATACAGTTAATAGTCTCCCCATTTCTACCAAATTAAAAAAAAAACAAAACAAAAAACAATAGCACCTTCTTTTCCTGTGTTTTTTAGATATTCCCTTCTGTAGTGAGCACTTTAAGCAAGAAAGTCTTTCCTTGACTTCTGCCTGCATTCCATAAAGTAGTTTTGCCTTGTAGGTAAGTGTGTGGCTATGCTTTGACCCATTCTGAGCCAAAGGTATTGATTCTCTCTGAAAACCTATGTCATTATTATATTAAGACCCAAAGCCTGGGGTTTCAAGTATTTTGCTCTTGGGTACCCAACAAACAAACAAACAAATAAACCCTACCATGACCAAAATGCTATGGTAGATTTGCTTTTCCAAGACTTTTTATGTCTTGTCTGCATATGTGCTGGCCATTACCATTTGTTAAGTGGAATCATATTTATCAGCAACCTCCCGGGTATTCAGAAGCCTCCTTTATGTTCCTGGATCTGAAGACAACTTTAATAAGTTGTCTTAAAATGCATCCATGCACCCATACATTGTCTGTGACTGGGGACTGAGATGGTGGGTTAGATACTAGGAGTTGGTGGGAAGGAGGGGAATTCTTTGCTGATAGCCATCATGGGAATCCGAGTGGAGAGGACAGGGTCTGAACACCTGCCCAGGGACTGAGACAGACAGGAATTCCAAGCCCGCCAAGCCTGTAGACCTGGCCTCAAGGTGCTTTCCTACACAGTCAGCCACTCCTACACTTCTGGTCTCCACAAGCTGATGGAAAGCCCAGAAATCTTGTCTGGGTCTCCTCTAATACCTAAACTCATTTTCCCAAGGAAGAGCTGGGGAAGTGGATGAACAGTGGTCAAATGGGAAACAGATGATTTCTTCCTTGCTAGGACTGAGAGCCTAATATCAATTGAAGAGGTTGGAAAGGTTAGAAAACCAGGAGCTGTCTCTCCAGTTAACTCATGTCTCTGCTGTGAGAAAAAGAATGGGAAATACCAACCCCCATAAAACACAGTTGCAGCCTCTTAGAGCATTGCAGGTGAACATGGCTTCAATTTGATGGATAGCCTTCTTGCAGCCCCCTTTACAGTGTGCATATATAATGTACCAATGCTCATATAGTCCACTATGCATTTTATAATTATTATTATTATTACCTGCAGGATATTCATAGTGGATGTTATGATTTCTTCAAGAACCTTACTATCTTAACTCAGGCTACCAAATAAGATTCAGCTGAGCCAGGTGGAATTCTGCAATCTGCAGAGAGGGAAGAATTAAAGAAAAAGTGACTGGCACCCCTCAGTGCTATACCCTGAGATCTGTCACTCTTGTCATCATCTTATTTACCTTCTTATCCCAGACATAAGTTCTCATATGGAAGCTGGGGCTCCTGTTGACTGGAAGGAGCTTAGTGTCTTCCATCTATAACTTTGGTAGCTCTAGAATCGCACCTGGGCACAGGTGGATTTAATCTGGAATGCCTCCAATGGTCCTGGGTTTTCTCCTCTGCATTGTTCTGGGGGATTCAGCCATCCCAGTATGAGGGGTTTCCTGAGACAAGACTTTGATCATTAAGCCTGGAAAAGCTGGTGCAAACCATGGCATATCAGTCTCCCTTGTGATCCTACCATGTTTGCTTTCATGCTTGCCTACATGTTTGTACTCAACGGGTAGCTGCTAGATGCCCTTGGATTTGTATCCCTAGAGGTCAAGAAAGAACTGGGGGACTGAGGACCTGGGTGAAACCTCACCTTGCCCACTCCCTGACCTTGCAGATCTGGTCACTTTTGTTTGTGCACTTTGGTATTCCAGATGCCACATAAGAATAACAGCAAACCAATAGAGATGCTGAAATGGTGTCAAGACAGAGGAAAGGGAGGTTCCTGGTCCAGCACAGACAAAGGAGAATAGAAGTCCTCTCCTTGCTGACTGTCTAAGGATGGCAATCAGTAACTTTCCTGGGCCTAAGTGACTGTGGAGCTTTACCAGTGTTGCTTAGATAAAGCCAACATTTGGAATGTTAGAAAGGATTCAGTCACATGACTCATCCATACATTGTCAGCTGGTCTGTGGGCACCAGATCTTAGCCCTACGTCTGGCTAATTCTGATAGTATCAGGAAAATGTGTGAAAATTACTTGAGCTCTTTTTATAGCAGGTTTGCATATTCAAACATTTTTAAAGTGTTGTATGGAAAAAGTATCATTTTTCTCTTATCCTTGTTCAAATGCTTTTACCTATCAACTTATTATTGCCTTTAAAGTTCATTATATCTTTGTTTGTTCCTACGGTGGGACATTACAGATAAGCAACCTTATGAATACATATATATTACTGTCACTAACATCTTTTGTTCACTGTTCTCAATGGTATATTTAAGATTACATTATTTTTTGAGTACATACTGGGTATTTGAAGTGGCCCCTTGTTTGTAGAAACTAAAATGAAAATGAAGACATGAAATTAAATGATCTTGTTATATTCTTTTTGTCAAACCTTTTCAGTTTAATTATTCTAAAACATGAAACCTCCTAAGCATGTATATCTAAATCATTTTTAAAGACGTTTCTGTGATGTTTTCATGCAGTTGCAATTTCAGGAACTTAAAAGGTCCCTTTGTTTTAGTTTCTTGCTATCTTAATCAAACTGAAGGAACTGATAAAGTCAGTTTCTCCTTGAAAAGTTTCTTTTCCAAACTTCTCTGGGGTAGATTTTTTTCTGTTTCATACTGTGGCTGCTGGAGGCAAGACATGGCTGGGAGCAAAAGCAGCCCCTGCACACTTCTCTGTGTTAAATGATCCCAACCAAAACTACTGCTAGTTTTCCCCAAACACCTTTTTTTCCCAGTTCGATATTGCCTCCATAAAGAGCGGCTTGTTCCTTGCCCATGACTCATCTTCCTTTCACACAGGCACCTCTGGCTTTTGCCTCTTCCTAGACCATCTCTTTGCCAAGACCATGACTCAGAGCTCAGGTTCCCTGGCGCCGTCAGGTGGGGCTCCTCCACAGCCTCTCAGCTGACCTTGAACAAGGTCTCCTCGGGAGCCAGGGCAAGTCGGCCACTGTAATAAGACCCGCAGTGCTCTCAGACCAGCCAGAGCATTATAGTAAAAAGGGAGAGGATGGAATATTCTCTTGGAAAAGCAGTTAGACTATAAGTTTTATTCTCCTTAGCCATAAAAATGATACAGGTTTTAAGAGAAGATAGATGGGGGGGGGTCTAACATACATTTGAGGATCTAACATACATTTATTATGAAGTTCAAGAACTATTATAATTGTTAACATTTAAAATGCTTTTTAAATCAAGTAAAAGATAAATTTTGTTGCCTTATGTACACAATTGTTAATTATGCAGAGTTATTGCCATAGAGATGGATCATGATTAGTATTGGGGTCATGGAAGTCACTCAGTTGTTTACAAGGATTGGCAGAGAGGAAGGCCAGGCTGCAGTTGAGCCCACAAAGTGGAAATGAACACTGAGCTGGAGATGATGAATGCTCCATCTGCAGCCTACCCATGTCCTATAGAAAATTATTAGAACTTTCATATGTAAATGAAGATGAGACTCTGTCAGCTTTCCAGCACTGTAACAAGATACCTGAAGTAATTAATTTATAGAGAAAAGATTTATTTTTGGCTCACAGTTTTAGAGGTTCCCACTCATGATTGGCAGAGCCATTACTCTTAAGTTAGAGTGCCAGATAACAGTAAAGCAGAGCATATGGCATAGCAATATGCTCCCTTTATGGCTGAGACACAAAGTGAAAGGAGAAGAGATTGGCTCCCTTTAGTTCTGTACGAGGATATATTCACAATGACCTAACTTCCACTAAAGGTTCTATCACTGCCCCAGTAACACTACCCTGGGAATTAGGCCTTTGGGGAATATCAAATATTCACACTGTAGCAGGAATCAAAGAGGTTAAATCTCTAAACTAGAGGGCAACCATGTGATTAAACAAGTCTACCCAAGGTTCTTATGTCAAACTTCTCCTAACCTTGAACACCAGTAGGTTTCTTTACAGTGAAAGAATAATAGATGCAATTGAAAAGTTGGCTGTGGGAACTTTGGGGGCAATGGAGAAGATAGATTTGGAAGATTACAAAGAAATGTGTTGTCTAGTTTGATATTAGAATGACTCCATAGAAACTGAAAAGATTTGATAAGGAAGAGACTTGTAAGGGCATACCTTTTAGAGAGAGGAGGACAGGTATGGTGGAACAGTAGTCCAAGAGAAAACTAGCACTTACAGACCTTCCCATTTTTTTTCAATCTCTGAAGTGTCTACTGCCATTTCCAGGTATAGACTGAAAGAGTCTTCATGTGTTCTGAGAAGTTCAGGAAGACACAGGTAAGAGGCTCCATGTTGGAATACCCTCCCCATGCTGACCTCTCCTTTAATGGGGGCAAAACACTCATACATAAAATAAAATTTAAAAAATTCAAAGAGAAAATCAAAAACAAAGGGAAAAGTTTATGTTGTTTTAGGATGGTTGTCCATTGGACATCATGGTATAGACAGTAGGACTATAATTTAGTATAATGTATCATCCAAGAATTTGACACATTAATATTTTAGCTGCTCTTGCCATGGCGGGGTGCGGGGGTGGGGGTGGCTGTGAGATGATGGTGTACTCATTTGTCTGTGTCACCATCTTGCTATTGATATGCATCTTATAACATTGTGTTTTGTACTGTAAGAACATACAAACTTAATTTTAAGAAATTGTAGAACTTGAACTTAAACTTCAGTCAAGTGAAGGAGTACTCAGCATACAATTATATATTAAAAGGGTATTTGAAAGGTTGGAGGACCACTTGTCTAATATATTCAAGGCTCTGGGTTTCAGACTCATCACTGGAAGGGGGAGGGTCTTTGAATTTCAGCTGCATTCAAATTTTAGTTTTGTTTCAGAATTCAGCTCACCTGCAGTTGTGGTTTAGTTCCAAATAGCTGTTTGCTAAGGATGCAGAGGTCTCCACATAGAGTTGTCTGTGATTGGCCCCAAGTTCTAGGATTGCCTTCTAATTGTGATTGGGGGCGGGGAACCATCTCCAAAGCAGGTGAGAGCTGAGAGAGAGATTCTCTCTACTGCCTGTTCCGCTGTTACTTTAGCTTTAGGTGTACTGGTTCCATTGCAGATGTATCACTTAGGGCTGGGTGTCTCTCTCCCTCTTTCTGTTTGACCAGTTGTAGAATTCTGTAATTGTCTCCATCTATTGCAAAAAGAACCTTCTTTGATAGTGGTAAGAGGTATATTTGTCTGTAAATATAAGGATACATATTATGTTTGTCATGGGACATAGGTTTTTCCTCTATAATCTATGACCTCTTCAGCTGTGTGTATTTGACTTTGTTTACAGTACATGCAACAGAGGGTGATTAACACAAAGCCACAACTGGCCAAAATGTAGACTAAGAGACTGCAGAGTGCATGTCCCTGGATAGGGCTCCTATGTTAAACCTCTGCCACTCAGGGCTCAGGGATCATTGTGGAAAGTGGGGTGGAAAGAGCATAAGAGCCAGGGATGACCACAAGGAAACAGAGTTTTCCAGGTGGCTAGGAATTTGTTCATATGGACTTCTCAGCAATGGTGACAATATGCACAAAACCCCTGCAAATTCAAACCAGACAAAAACCCAGCGTAGAATTGGGAGGATGGGTAAGAAGCCCCAGCCTTAGCAGAGGAACTTTTGGCAGCTGATCACTCACTGCTGAGTGAGGGAAAGTTGCTTTTCTTTAAGGAAGTGACACTAGATAGGCTGCTCAGACTCGGTAGTGGGTGAGCTCACACCATGGGACATCTGAGGACACAACTTGACTCAATAGGCCTTAACATATATGACAGAATGCATGAATCCAGTGGGGGAGGGTATAATAAGGGAGTGCAGATAGGGGAGAGGGTATAAATATGATGAAGATGTATTATATCAGATACACAAAAATTAATAAAAATACATATCGTAAAAAAAAAAGCCCAGTGGCAGCGATTGAAGCAGGGCGGAAAAAGTAGGACTTTTAAAAATTATTTTGTTATTCTTATTCAACAATTAACACCATTTTGTTTTTTTGAGGTTTGTTGTCATTATATTGTTTTGTTTTATAAACAGGGTCTCTCTATGTAGCCCTGGATAGTCTAGAACTCACTCTGTAGACCCAGCTAGCCTGGAACTCACAGCCACCTATCTCTTGCCTCCTGAGTTTTGAGATTAGACGTGTGTGCTACCATGCCTGGTCCTAATGCTATATTTTTTTAAGAAAAACAAATAATTTTTTATTTGGGATGAGGGGTCATAGCCCTCCACATAATCAGTAAGATGCTTGGAAAGCAGCATACCTATGTATGCTTTGACCATCATGATGTGTGAGAATGAGAAAGATGCATGTTTTTTACTCAGGACCAAAAGACTTCACACTCGAGCTTATAGAATGAGAAATTCTCCAAGGAACATCTGTGGCACATTTTTCTATAAAGCATTTGAAGGCTGTGTTCTTGTCTGCCCTTCCAGTGGCCCTGTCTCTTATGCAGTCTGCTGCTGTTTGATTTTCATCAACAGTTTATCTGGGCTGCAGTCCTTGGGCACTGGCCACTGGCAACTGGCATGCAGCATCGCCCGTTCTGCAGTGTTCCTCATTTGTATGCAGTGGTCATTTTCATCATGGGATCATCAGCCCTTTTATGGAAGTGCACGGGAGTGTCAGATCAAAGTGTACTGCCTCATTTAGAGCCTTTGAGAGAAACTCTTATTTTTAGCAGCCTTTAGTTACTAAGCATTTGATTAAGAGGTGGTAAGTATATAGAGAAAAATTATTTGAGCATGTCAATTTAAATCTCCCATTAAGAAACAAGAATTTGAGAGATCACTTGAAGACATTTTATGCCAAATCTGCAGCATTTTAGGATTTCTCATTTACTTTCATAATGATACTTAACTTCATGCATGTTTGCAGTGTTTAATTTAAATACAACTGTGTTTCAGAGAATTTTGTGATTATTAGACATTTGCATCTAATTGGCAATCTTATTTTTAAGACTACCGAAACCTGACTTTGAAGTGCTGACTGGAGTGTTTGTCTGTTTTAGACTAATAAGCACCTCTTTATTGGCACTTGGCCTCATAAATCGGTAGGACTGCTGTGCACTTCTTGAGAAATCCCATCGAGAGTGCCACACTTGTTTTAAACTTCTATAACATGGCCGGAGTGTGTGAGATACTTCATGATTGCCACCTTTGCTTTTTTAGGACGGGGTTCCTTAAGAGCACTTGTGAGTACTGGTGTGTCTCCACATACAGAGGATGGAGTGTTAATAGTGTTCCATGTGGCACTGACCTGTAGGACACCACACTAACAGGTGATTGTGCAGTGAGAATTTTGATTCACCTTCACTAGCACTTCCCAGGTGCTGGTCATGGCAGACAGCTGATCATGTGGCACTGACCTGTAGGACACCACACTAACAGGTGATTGTGCAGTGAGAATTTTGATTCACCTTCACTAGCACTTCCCAGGTGCTGGTCATGGCAGACAGCTGATCATGTGGCACTGACCTGTAGGACACCACACTAACAGGTGATTGTGCAGTGAGAATTTTGATTCACCTTCACTAGCACTTCCCAGGTGCTGGTCATGGCAGACAGCTGATCATGTGCATCCTCTTGCTTAATTCTGACAGTGGCAAAATTCACAACTGGAGCTCACCTTATCTGTTTGTCAATCTGTCCCGCTTAGTCACCTTACAAAGGAGCAAAAGAGTAAAGATGTCAGATATCAGGGAGTTCACAAATTCTAGAAGTAAACATTTTCTTGATTTAGAACCTATGTTGTTTAGTTGGATTAGATTACATGAAGGATTTTTCTGGACAAAACAACTTGCTACATATACCTACTGCTATAGTTTGGTTGTTAAATGTCTCCCAAGGGACCGTGTGTTGAAGGTTTGCTCCCCAGCCCTTGATGCTACCTGGTAGTGCTGATGGAACATTTGGGAGATGGAACCCAGTGTCAAGGAACTAAGCCATTGTGGACGTGCCCTATACATAGGACCTCTTCTTCCTCTTTGTTTCCTAGTAAGCATAAAATGAACAGCTTCCCTGCCACACATTCCACTATGATATATTATGCCATGACAGACCCAGAATATTGTGGTAATGGTCCATAAACTGAAAATTATCCCAAATATACCTTTCCTTCTTTAAATTCTATGTCTCTGCTATTTTGTCACAGAAGCAAAAAGCTAATATTCAAATCAAGAGTTCCACTTTGGGTATGTTTATTATATATTGTGCCCAGAGAGACCAGTCCTCCATAGAAAGGTTACCTAGATTTCTGGGGCTCAGATTACTTGGCTTTGCTCCCAGATCTCTGGGTTGAAACTGCCTGTACAGCAGCTGTTGGAGCGATGTGCTTTTTTCATAGGCTTGTACATTTTACAGAGCACTTTCACTTCAACAGCCTTGAGTGGTGAGGTGGGGAGAACCGTCATCTCAGCTATGTAGATAAGGCAGCAGAAGCCTCAGGGAAAGGTGTCCTCTCACGCTACATGGCTCATAACGGAAAAGCTAACCTATAAGTCCATCCATCTTCCCGTAAACCAGAGTTCCAAAACCAGACATCTAGGACAAGAGCATCGCCTGCTCATCAGTAGAATGTATGAATTAAATGCCACCAGTGACTTTTAGGTCCTGTTGCCTGAAATATTAGAGATACCAAAGCTGCCAGTCAGATTCAGGGCTCCTTCAGCCCAAACCTTTCTACATCTATTTTATATGTGGATGTTTCATATCATCTACATTTTAAGAAATTTTCTACAGTTAAAAGGTACTTTGAAGATCACTGAACACCAAGTATTACATTATAAGCTTGTTAGGAGCCAGTGCTCACTTAAAAAATCAATAAAATTAATGTAAACAGGAGTCTGTTACTAATGGCAGAATATGATTTGGCTTGTAAAAGTAACTTGCAGCTTTCTGAAACTGCAGCTTTTGGCTAAGAACAGGAGACTGCCAGAAATAATATTCCCTAATTTCTTATAATCAGTCCCCAGTACCTAAAAACACTTGGTTGGCTTATGAGGGAAAGCAGAATTTCACAATTAATTTTAGAGAATGATCACAGTTTAGTTTCTCCATTAAATCTCACGGCATGTGTGTGTATATTTAGTGACTCTGTGTAAGACAACAAATCGTCTCTCTTCCCCATCACTCCTTAGCTGTCGACATTATTTGAGTGATTTGATGAACTCCTTAGTGTCGACATTATTTGAGCGATTTGATGTATAAAGTCATATATCTAGTTTATAACTCCTGCAATAAAATAATGTTTCTAGATGGGATTCTCCATCTTTCAT